CACGGTTGTACTAGAACTAGAGGGTGATGCGCGCTTTGCCGCGCCGTCATTTAGACATGAGTTAAGCCTTCCTTTTTTTTCTGACATGATATTATTGTTGGTGGCTTTGTTGTGTGTTTCACATGAGTTAAGCTGATTTTTAGTTGCACTGATGATTTTTTTTCTTTTTGTTGGCTACACTCTTGCTCGACAGAGGCAATATTTATCTGCGAGGTGAAGTAAATTGTTTTGTGGGTGGTTCTGGTATTCTTACGTGTAACATAGAAATCAATATATGAGTGTCACATTCGTCTAGGAGTGGACCCAAGAAAATCCCGCACGAAGGATCCACTCTCTTACAGGTGGACCCGCCAGCGCCCCAAATTAAGCCCGATGAACCACGAGCCAACATTCTTAGATAGCTTAGAATCTTAAAAGATATGACAAGGGGAAGTAAAAAAATGAAAATTCCAGCAAAAATATTTGAAAAAAATGTTTAAATCCGCCATTCAACATTTGGCAAAACTTCTGAACAAATAAAGAAATTGAACCATCATCAACGAACAGGCAAACCGGCTAGGAAAAGGTTTAAGACGTAGACCATGAAACTAATAAAACTTAGGAACACAATCCAAATTGATACAAACCCAGCTCTCAAGCCGAAACCAGCAAAAGAAAAACATTTTAAAACTTTGGGTTAAACCCATTTGCTCCAACCGAACCAAAACATCAATTTGAAGTAGACATCAACACATGACCAAGCAGCAAAGAGCTCTTCACGTTAACTACACCCTTGCAACAAAAAGTTGTTGACATAGATTAGAGCAACTCCAACATGCTGACCCAAATTGTCCACGCGTCCAAAGAGGCAAAAACACTGGCCGTACGCAATAAACTAAAACGAAAAGCCGTCCGCCCGCTGTCCGTTTGGACGCATTTGCGCTCGATTTACGTCCACGCTGACACGAGACGGACACACCGTGCAACCGCTCGGTACACCGGACCCGCATGACGGCGTCTGAAAGCCTCATGAGTGGTCGTCCTTTTTAGTGCAAGCTGGGGGGGGGGGCTCGTCCACTTCTCCTTCCCGTCCACATTTGGCCACGCTCGCTCCCCTCGCGGTCGACAGCGCAAACGCTAGCCATGGGTATTATCGACGGGAGCAAGGGCAAGCTCAACACAGGCGCCACCTCATCCAGCATGCTGCCTCAACCTCCTCCTCCGCCGCCGCCAACCCCGTCAGCCTATGACACGATGGATCCGTGTGCGGCTAGTGCTCGTCGGCCACGGGACCAGCTATACATCCTGGTGCAAGCGCGCTGGTACTGGCATTACCGCCAGTCGCTGCCATGGCCGGATGTTAACCTACTTCACGGCTGACACCTTGACCCGCACCGCATCCCGGTGGCAGCGGTGTTGCAGTCGGCACGGGCGCACACGGAGGAGGTGCACAAGCGTCACGCTCTCTTGACGCGGGAACAGCGGTGCGACCCTGCCTACGCGCAAACTCCCCACACCGGGAGGCCTAGTTCACCACGGAGCATGACGTGGCTTGTCGCGGCAGCGTGCGGCTCAACCCTGGGTACGTGTCGCCGCCCCCGGAGGCGGCGCAGGAGGAGGAGGATGCCAACCAGGCCGCATTGGAGGCAGTGCTCCAGCGCGTCCTGGAGGAGAGCCAGCGCGAGGAGGACAAGCGCTGGGATTCCTTGGAGGAGGCCCTCGTGCTGTCGGCGGCGGGAGAATGCACCTACGCCCCGCTGCTGCCAGAGCCCAAGGCCGAGCCCGAGCACACGTTGGGGCTCACGCTCATGCCCACGCCCACGCCGCCCATGGAGCTCGAGTCGCATATGTATGCCTAGACCGGCATCCTCCGCGAGTGGGTGAGCGCGCCACCCATCGCGCTGGGCGCCATGCCGGAGCAAGAGGAGGTCTACCTGGAACACTGACACAGATTCACCTGTCAAAGGAGCGCGCCGACGGCGAGCACCGGATGCAGGCCGAGCATGAGGAGGAGTGTTGTGCTCACTAGACACGGAGGAGGAGAAAGAGCGCCAGGAGAAGGAGGAGGAGGAGCGCGCGCCACACAGCAATGCCGCCGGCAGAGCAGACGCCGGAGTAGACGCGGGTGACTTGGGGGACCGCATTCCCGTGGGCTGGGCCGCCGCCAGCCTTCGTCGAACTCACTGGCAACGACGACAATGATGGCAACATATAGGTCAGCGTGCTGGGTGGCTAGGAGACGTGTTTATTTTCTTTATGTTTTAATAATGTTTAAGTGGACTTTGGCCGACGGTTAACCGATCATTTAACATTTAATTATTTTTAATCGGACGCATATTTTTGAAATTGTATTTTTTAACCGGAGGAATAAAAATGTCTGCCACTGTTGGATGATCCAGCCGACCCAAATAAAAAAGCGAACAATCCAGCTTAGAAAACCAGCTTACCTTTCGCTTTTACTAATACGCTGCCTTGTATATTTATTACCGGCTAGAAAAGCAAAATGTTGCAGGAGGCACTACACACCCTGGAGCCTTCCTCTCTCTGGTGGGGTCTATCATTTGACCATAGTCCATGATCAACCAGAGAGCTTTATTTCATGGGAGCTTAGTAATTGTAGAGATATCTACATGCGCGTCACACACCCATTAGTAGTGTCCAGTGAAATAGCTAACACCTTCTAACTTGGACTCACTGGCCTAATCCATCCATGATGCAATGATGCATCGAAGAACTCCCTTTCTATGGAGCTTAGTATCTTGAGAAACATAGCATAATTTTCTTTCCCGCAAGAACAGAATTGTATGACATATACTAAATGTTTTCATTGTTGGACCGGACCGACCTAAGAGCATCTCCAATAGGTGATGTAAAATAGCTTATAACTATTTATTACATCACCTAGAGGCAAAAGCAGGTTTCAACATGATGTGAGTTTTGAACAATTTTTCCTACATCATGATGTATATTTTGCCTCTCGTGATGTAAATATACATCACGTGGGGAGGTGATGTAAAATGCATGCAGCCACGCGCGCGAGTGTGACCGCCAACTTCCAGGTCCTTCACACCACGCCCGTGTATAATCGCCCCTGCTTCCCGTCGCCGCACCCTTCCCGTCGCCGGCCTGAAAGAGGAGCCGTCGATACCGAGATCAACCAAGAAGAAGTTTGAGTGACTAAAATACATCATCTACTAGGGACCTCGTGCCCTAAAATACATCACCTGTTGGAGTTGGACACTTTCCGTGATATAAAAATCATGTTTCTGGTGATGTATAATTCACATCATTCAGTTTTTAGGTTTCTATTTTACATCATCTATCGAACATGCTATAAGTCACCAGTCTGCAGTAAAAATTTCGACTATGGTTTACTAGTAGCCACCAGACCGCCTGTAGCAGCGACCCATGTCTCACTGGCGCAGTGGCCCTAGGACTAGGAGACGGTCACAGCCTATACGGACTCGCTAGGTTCGCGCTCCATCAGTCTATCGCCGCTGACGCACGGTTCCAAAACCCATTTAGATCTCTCCCAATGCAAAGGTGCTTAAATGAGGTGTTAAATGTATTAAATATCTTAGCAACTTAAGTCCTCAATGCATAGATACTTAACTTGTTGTTGTTAAGCATATTTTATTTAATGAGTTAGCATCTAAAGTCTTTCATGCATTGGTCAAATTATTTCATTTAAGTGGTTTGCCTGGTCTGCCTAGGTTCTCGCGCTTGGCATTGGTTCTAAGGTCATCAAAATACTTTTCTTAAATAGTGTGCCACGTCATATTTTTATTTATGTGACATGCTTAGCACCTGTACACGGTGGAACACTGGGCCTTAAAACCTTCGTCTTCAAGCGGAAGGCCCCAAACCCGTTGCGCTTCTCCCACAAGTAGTGTATCCCAGAAGACACGCCCATCACGCCGCGCCGCGCCGCACCGCTCCCGAGATGGCACGGCACGCCAAGACGGACTCCGACGTGACGAGCCTGGCGCCGTCGTCGCCGCCGCGTTCCCCGCGCCGCCCGGCGTACTACGTCCACAGCCCCGCCGCCTCCCACCCGGACGTCGTGGCCTCCGGCGGCGGCTGCTGCGGCGGCGCCGGCGCCGCGGCCGACAAGATGTCGCTCGCCGGCTCCACCCCGGCAGAGTCCCCGCTCCACTACCACTTCCACCACTCCAGCGCCGCGATGCACCACTCCCGCGAGTCCTCCACTGGCCGCCTCCTCTTCTCCGACCAGCTCCGCTCGGGTGGCCCGGCGGGGGCCGTGCCCTGGCGCCGCCTCGGGCACGGCAGCGGCGCCGGGAGCGTCGGGGACGACGAGGAGGAGGAGGACGGTGGGCGCCCCGGGTCGCAGTCGCCGTGGAGGTGCTACGCCCTGGCGGCGTTCGCGTTCGTCGCCGTCTTCGCCTTCTTCTTGCTGGTGCTGTGGGGCGCGAGCAAATCCTACAAGCCCCACGTCGATGTCAAGGTCGGCCGCCCCCTTTTCCCTGCAACTGCTTCCTCACTCGCATCAAGAAACTCACCGCCACTACTCTGCAGATTACACATTTCAGTCAGCTTCCATTACTCTTTCTTCGCACGATTTGCCCTGTGGTTTGGATTTATTGCCAGTAGTATGAATTATACTGTCTTGACCTCAGTGACCTGAACTGTTGTTACCCACCATACCATTTGCGTAGAAATCGTCCTCTTCTGCTTTGCGGACAAGGAAGAAGCTGTACTTTCTGTTTTACAAGCTCCAAATTTTGTAGGCATGCAATAACTACAGCGTGATTCCTCCCAACGACCACAAAAACTCTGAATTTCAAACCGCGCATTTGGGCAAGAAGCAAAGTCCAAAACAACGGCGAAACATGCACACAGCATGCGAGTAGTATTTCCGAGGGCAACATGCTCGGAACATGCACATCGAATCGAGCGGATGAATTTTAATTTTTCTCACGAGTGAAAGTGCTTTGCAGAGCGTGGTGTTCGAGTCGTACCACATCCAGGGCGGGACGGACCGGACGGGCGTGCCCACCAGGATGATGTCGGTCAACGCGACGGTCAGGCTGCGCTTCCGCAACCGGGGCACCTTCTTCGGCCTCCACGTCACCGCCGCGCCCTTCCACCTCTTCTTCGACGACCTCACCGTCGCCTCCGGAAACGTACGTACACCGCCCTTCTTCTACATGCCATCGTCGTCGCATCCACCATTGCATATTTCCATTTCCATTTGCATCCACCCCACCATCCTGCCCGCCGCGTCATTACATTACCAATACCAGCTGCCCTTAATTGCTCCTTGCCTGGATTGGAATCCGGAAGGCGATGTGAGCGTTACGTCTCGCGACGCCACCCCCCTTAATTAGGCCATGAATCTGACCCTAGTTATTGCTGTTTACGCGAAAAGAACAAAAGGTGACCATGATATCAAAAAAAACAAAAGGTGACCACATGCCGCTGTTTCCGGATAATCGGGGAGGTTGATAGCTGGCGCGCTTGAACACTACTACACAGATGTATCTAGCACTGAAGTACTACATAATAAGGATCGAAGGGAGTACTTTTTTCTCTTCTTTGCAAAAACGTATAGCCGTGTGTAGTTTGTTCTGTTTGGAGCATACTATAGGAATGTAGCAAAGTTTAGTTCCATGTGAGTGCGAGGTTTCGGCTGCATTGTGCATATAGTCAATGTGATTGGTCACTGGCACGCTGTCCTGGCCATGATTAATAATCATTTTCCTCAAATAGGCCGTGGAATTTTTGCACAAGTATAGCGTCTCTGCTTTTCAGCATTCTCATGGCCAGGCAGAGATTCTTTTTCATTTTAAAGGAAACCCATGAGGTGATGAGCAGTACAAGTGTGCCACTACGTACACCCCATCCATGGCCTAGGTACTGGAGAAAGCAAACGGGAAACCCTGGCAGCACTGTCCCATTCCTATTTGTCGCTCTCCAGATTCGTTCTCGTGGCAGTACACGCCCAAAACAAATCCCGGCTTTGGGAAAAGAAAAGAAAAACCGACGTGACTAAACAACATCGTCTGCTTCCTCCAGAGACGATTTCTGAAGTCGCTAGCCATGCACTGGGCCAATCCTGATCCAGGGCTTATTTGTATAAAGAGCAACTTCAACAGGGCATTTCGTCCGCTTTTTGTTCGTTTGGGCCGGCTGTTCTCCCGACGTCTGCCCTGTTTTAGATATGGATCGGCGGCGCGTCCAACACGCTGACCCATATGTGCCGGCTGGCCACCCTATTTTGCATTGATGAATTTGCATTTAAATATATAGTTAAATAAAATAGCATAGTTTTACAAGTTGAATAAAAATAAAAATGTCTTACATAGTTCTCACATAGTTTTGCAAACGAATAAAAAGAGATACATCTATTGGTTGCCAATATGAGCCCACATATGCTCAACCAAATCATTTTGCAGTTGCACGTGAGTTTTCCGGTCACGTATGTCATGATGAAATTGAGTGAACTGTTCAAATGTTGCCGCTCCTCTATGCTCAGGCACAACATTCTCATCCTGAAACTGAAACCCTTGATCGTACAGACGTTCCAGGCGCTCGTTTTCTACGATCATATTGTGCATGATCACACAAGCAGTCATCACCTCCCACAGTTTCTGCGTGCTCCAGGTATTAGCAGGATACCGAAGGATGCCCTATCGAGATTGTAAAACACTAAAGGCACGCTCGACATCCTTCCTAGCACTCTCTTGCTCTTGGACAAATCTTTTCCTCTTCTCTACGACAGGGTTGGGTATTGTCTTGACAATAGCGGTCCATTGAGGATAGATACCGTCACCCAGTTAGTATCCTTTGTCGTAGTTGTGGCCGTTGACAATAAAGTTCACCGGTGGGCTGTTGATATCATTGTGTGATCCGGCCATGCCAAAGAAAGAGTGCCAGATCCAAAGATCTTGAGACGCCACGACCTCTAGTATGACAGTGCAAGCCCTAACATGGCCCTTATACTGCCCCTGCCAAGCAGAAGGGCAGTTCGTCCACTCGCAGTGCATGCAGTCTATGCTACCAAGCATCCCTGGGAAGCCCGTGCTGGCATTCACCGCCAACAAATGGGTTGTATCTTCAGCAGTCGGCTCTCTCAAGTACTCAGAGCCAAACACAACAATAACAGCCTTGCAAAACTTATACAGGGACTCTAGGCATGTAGACTCGTTCATATGGACGTACTCAATGAGATCACTGGACACTCCGTATGCAAGCATTCAGATGGCGGCAGTGCATTTCTGATAAGAGGAGAAACCAACCTTGCCAACATCATCCTCTTTGCACTCGAAATAGTCATCATAGCCGACCACCCGCTCTCTAATACGGTTGAAAAGATGCCTACTCATACGAAAACGGCGGCGGGATTTTTTATGTTTGAACAACGGGTTTGTTGTACCAAAGTAGTCCTTCCAACGGCCGCTGGCTGTTGAGATGGTGATGGACCAACACGGCAGCCAATATCTCCTCCTCGTCATCGGACGACGAATCGTCGGAGTCGCAAAGGAAATTGTGAGAAAAGAACTCGTCGGCGGAGTCCATTTTGTACATTGGCAAACTGTCGAATAACTTGCGGGCGTCGACGAAGGAGACGGCCAACGAAGGGAGTCGCGGCGCACACGGACCAGCTAGCTGCCCTGCCGGTGTTCGACGAGTGGGCCGGCGTTCGACGAGCGTGCCAGTGAGGATCTGGTCGGGGCGG